AAAATTTTGGACGGTCGTAAGAGCTGCTTTTTTGAAAATGTGTGTCCAGACTTGCATGCTTGGTGAATAAAGAGGTTTTTCATGCCCTTCGAGGACTTGTCTGGCATTTAAACGGGCGCATATTTTACATTAACTTTGTTTGCATCTCCAGTAGCCAGAAAAGGAGAAGAAAAGAACGTCATCACCCCGTCCCCTTTTCTCCAATCACGCTGCGACGCGCGCGCGTGCCGCTGCAAAAGTTCACGGGTCGTCGGCATTTAGCATCGGCCGCCATCTGCATTGCAAAGTGGTCCTGTGGAGTTTTCTGCCGCGCTTCCTCCGCGCCGAGCGGCGAGTGGCGCGCATTTTGAATTGTATAAGTAATATGGAGCTGCCGAGGCGAAAAGGGGAGGAAGGCCGGGTGCCGCGCCCCCGCCGCGGTCGTGTCGTTGTCACTCACATGGCCTCCTTGACGGAGCCGCCCTCGCAGTGGTATCTGGCGGGCACGGTCCGCCACTGCTTGGAGAGCGCCACCATGGCGCCGGCGTCGAGCACGCCGAAGCCGAACAGGTGGTTGAACTCGAGTCCCACGCCGTTCATCGTCCAGTGGAAGCGGCCCTTGGCGTCGAACAGCGAGTTGCGCTTCGAGGTGAGGACGGTGAGGTGCTGGATGTCTCGCCACGTGAGCTGGGTGCTGCGGGCAGAGATCGGCGGTATTATTATGCACACATTAGGGTACACTCTATGGCCCGGTTGTCCGGGGTCTGATGACACTTACGAATGCAAAAAAACAGTCTTTAAGGGACTGCGCAGTCCCATGACATCTAAAAATTTCCCCCTTAGGGCTCTTTAGTGCCTTTCCAAATACCTCCAAAAATTCTTTGGCACCCCCTGCCCTGCACAAGCGCGACGTAGCAGCTTTGTTTCCCTTTGCATTTTAGGGAGCGGCAGTAACTAGATAAAAGTGATTTTTTTCCCTCAGCGCATCACCCACCATAGTGGTGGGTGGGTGATGTCGTTTCGTCTTCCAGCAGCCCAGCCGTAGCGTGGGCTGCCTCATGGGCTGCCGGCCCGGCCGCCCAGCACCCAATCCCATTAGTTACATGACTGTGGCACAAAAACATCGGGGCGTCCTGTTTACTCTGCTGTTAACTTACTTGGCTTCAAGCGCCAGGGCGAACACGCCCGCGGCCTCCGGAGCGGCGGCGGAGGTCCCCGAGTGCGTGGTCGTGCACTTTCCGTAGAGATCTGTGGTGGCCTGGACACACGAGAGAGAGAGAGAGAGAGGGGGGGTTAGTTAGGCGTGGTCTTGGAAATATGAGAATCCCTCCAAGTCGGCCGGCGGGGTCCTCCCCCAACTAACACGAGAAAGTTGCGGCGCGCGCCCTGTGACCTTTCCCAGCAACAAAGTTTTCCGACTGTCTCGAGGAGGGTCTCCAGTTGTAGTTTTCAAGTGTCTCAACACTTTTATGAGAGATACCAACTTGATGCTGCGGTGCGGGCCTGCTCTGTCTCATCTCCCCGCCAGAGGCCTCGGCCGCTAACTCCTATAGCGCGGCGGAGACAGAAACACCTGCCGCCGTATCCTTTGCCGCCCTTCCAGAATTTCTCATATCTAACCAGAGTGACTGCGCAAACTCGGCCGAGCAAGTTCCGTTGTCCTTACTTTCGGATTTGCATAAGTCGAGCGCCGCGGGTGTTCCACCGCCCCGCCTCGCGCCCCGCCTGCCCGCGCCGCCGAGGCACACCATATGCTGCGCGCGGGCGGTGGGGTGGGGGCGCGAGGAGGCGCCTGGCGAGGCGGGGTGGGGCGGGGCGGAGCGGAGCGGCGCGAACGGGCCTAGCGGGCCGACGGTGTTGTGTGACCCAGCTGGTCACGGGATACGCCTCTCACCAGGCCCCTTATGCGAGGTTCGCGCTCATTCGTAGGCGTTTGGCCGCCTCCGACCCGAACCGCCTCGCTGAGACTGAGACTTATACGCGTTGTGGAAGTATGGGGCGTAACACGTAACGCATTACTCGAATGCGATGCGGTGCGTGGTTTCGGGAGATACCCTGCACAGGGCATGGGGGTGTATGGGGGTTGCCAGGGAGAGAAGGCCTTGAGGCTGCTCCGAAGGGGTTCCCCCGATTGCTCCTGGGCGGAGGCGGGGTCACTGCAGGCGTCCCCTGCGGGGTCCCTTCCGAAGCGAGCTCGGTGAGGTAGTCGGGCGGGTGCCGCCGTCTGGCGAGGCAGTGCGTAACGATGTCGTCATAGCAGCGGCTGCCGGCCTGCCCGCCCTTCCTCCCCGAGCAGGCCCTCCCCATCCCCGTCGGCCTGAGCACCTACGCAACCTGCCGACACGAGACACGGCGCCGCACGGC